GGGGTGTTTGGGTGGGTCCCCACTGGCAGACGGTGTGATTCAAACCCACATCCCTTTGGGGACTGGAGCCTAAATCCAGCGCCTTGGACCACTCGGCCATGCTAGTTGGATGCAAAAGAAAAAGCAAGGCTCAAGAATTAGAGCAGGTGACAGATGTCTGAATCTGAAGTTGTTAAGCCTTTCTTTACTATAGGGTACCAGAAGTTTGCAACGCAGAAAACTACACATAAAAAGTAAAACAATCCTTTTTTGCAGCAGAGGCGATCAAGAAGCTATATATACACAAAATAAAAATTGCACATACATCTGTAACACATGAGAAAACGCAAATACTTTTTTTTTCAAGCATCATGTAATACCTATTGCATTTATCAGACTTTGAGCTTACACAAATAAATCAACTGTTAATGATAACGATACAAATAAATCAGCTGTTAATGATAATACATATCTATGATGTTACAGCGTCATTACCGTCCTCGTATTATCCAGCTAGGGACCAGCTGAACTAGCCACAGGAGATTATGGTGATGACTGGAGAGTTCACTCACTGCCAAGCAGAGCTCAGGCATCTTTAAAAGAAGAAGAACAAAAATCCTGAAAATTACTGAAGAATGGATATGTTGGGCATTTTTTTCATTTGCAGAAGAGTACACATCTACTTCCTAGAAACACACACAACATAAATGTTAAAAGGAATTGGGCTAATAAGAGATTATGTGTATAAAGATATTTCTACATTGCACCTGAACTTAAGTCTGCTAAATACTATTTTACAGTCAGCTAGTTGAGATCAGATTGCTTTTCACGACATTTATCAGCTTAGTGCAATCATTTTTTAATTCTTTCAGAAAGCCATTTTAAACATACAGCTATTTTAGTAAATATAAGATTAAAGTTCAATACAACAGTCCCCCTGCAGAAGAGGACAGCAAAGCATAACGTCATATGACAAAATGCTCAGTATACCCACCCACCTCCTAAATCTCACACAAATCCAAAGCACCCAATATGTTCATATTACATTTTCAAGCAGTATTTTTTTGATATGTCAAGGAAAAAAGAAAGAAAACTTGAAAACAGAAGTTTCTTGAAAATTAAGTTGCAGTTTCATAAATCTAGTACTAGAAAATAATATTTGTTACCTTTGTATCCCAATCTTTTATACTTATCAGCAGCTTTACGAAAAGGCACTGAAAATCTATCAAAGGAATTTGCTTTAACTGTTTCTCCAAGCTTATTTTGAACAGCAACAGAAGCAGCAGCAGTATTTCTTGATCAGTATATCCACCTTGAATTACTGTTTTACAGAAACCTAGAAACTATAAAAGAAATAGAAAACATTAAAATCTAAAATAAACCAATTTCAAAGTATGATGAGAACTTAAAGTTTTCCACCCTCACATTAAAATTCACCTCAAATGATATATTGTTCTTGTAACACTTGTGTACTAGTATCTCCTCATCTCCCAGTAACCGCACTTTATTTTTTTTTAATACCTCCTGGAGGTTCATCTTTTGAACAATGGCAATATTCCCTGGAAAACTTATATTGAGGAAAGATCTTTCTCCGCTGCACAGATAATCCTCATCTAACTGAACGGAAGTCTGACAGACTTCCTAAATAAACAGGTAATACTGAAAACATAAATCAAGATACTTTTCCCCACAAGAGTATTCTCACATGGGTTACTTTCAATACGGGCTGTGTGAGTAAATGAGAACACAAACTAATCACGGGATGCGTATTCTGTCTCCACTAGTGGAGATCCTCCAAGTGCTTCCTATTGAATTAAGTGATTTTATAGTTAAGAATCTCTAAATAAACGATGTTAGGAAGATTCAAATACTTCCATAAGAAACTCTGAAATCAGTTATAAAGCCAGTATTTTCACCATAACCTTGAATCACAGTGAACTAGCATGTGAAGTGTGACCAGCACATGGGACACAGTGCGCAGTTCTAACAGCTCACTTCCACAGCACAGTTGCAGCCACAGCTCCACCTGCCCTCCACGAGCTCTGCCTCATTCACCTTGTGCTGCACCAGGACTGATCACATACCTCTGAAAGCTGCACTAACACACCAAGGCAGTACAAGACATACTCAACTCTCCTTCCCATTTCCACTGGAACACAGCAATGGATAGTTTCTTCTACACAAGGGAGCAAAGATGTTTGATAAAGTGCCACAGCTGGAAAAGGGAGGCAGCAGACCTGTGCAGTTGTGAGTGAAGCCAGCGGAAGCCAGGGAGAAAGGAAACTCTAAAGTTTGCAACAAGCCTGCAATAACCTCTGCTGAATGTGAAGCTGAAACCCCAGGATAGCCTCTACTCACAGAACATGCCCCGGACTACATTAAGACACCAAGGTTTTTTCTAAAAACTGAAACAAAGCAACAATCCCCCCAAAAACCTCTCCCACACCAACTGGAGTTTTCTCACCTTGATCACATTAATTAAATTGTTTTCTGGTAGACAGGAGAAGGCGGGACTGGCAGAGGTTAGGTCTCCTCTTGGCTGTTGTTTACTCATTGTTTCTGGCATCTGACTTCTAACAAGAGAGACATCAATCTGAGCAAAAGATCAACAATTTAAAAGCCTGCAAAGGCTCATGTGCATCAAACTGAAGAAAAAAAAAAAAAACCTGCATGTTTCAAAATGCCTGCAAATCAAAACAATTCTCAGTTACAGGGCACATACTTCTATCTTAACTTGTAATCAATTACTTACAATACCGCCCAGCTATTTAGGCAACAATTCTTGTAAACCTCCATTAGGAAGGTGCAGGACAAAGGACAATGCTCTGGTTTGCTGAATCCTTACCTAGCAGGCAGTGTTTGAAGTTCTGGCTTATTTACTCTTATTAAGACCCGAGATGAGATTTTAAAGGAGAGTACAGCTTGATGGAAGGGAGGGGAAATAAAGAACCTTCCAATTCAAGATTCTAAGCAGGACAAGACTTGCTTTCACAGGATCTAAGCAATAAATATCAAAAGGAAAACACTTACAAAATATCACACTCGTTAAAGTTGGGCTGAAGACGCTGCAATGGAAAGAGAGATCTAAACGCAACACCCATATTGACAAAAACAGCTGACACATCAGCTAGTGAAGGAATCCATGGTTTAGACTGTTCATCACTGATGGAAGCTAAAAGTAAAAGACACAGAATGAATTAGGTTTAAATTTAGTTCTTCACATTAGTTCCTTTTAAGGGAAACAAATAAGTGCAGCAGTCTGCATCAATTTTACCAGCTCTCATGTCAGAAGAGTTGGTTCACTGAAGGATACACTTATTTTCAGAGCCATGAGGGGAAAAAAAAACCAGCAGTTGTACTGGGTTTGTGTGGCAGGGTCCTGGGTTTTTGTGAGCAAACGGCCATGTGATGCTTAGCTGCCAGCTGGGCCTAAACCATTACAACAGTCTAACACAGCATTTTATGCTAGAGAAACATCTTGCCTGCGTAACAGACGAATTGCTTCCAGCCATTTCCCCTCACAGCTCTCTTTCATCACAAAGAGCAGACTAAGCAAGGAGGCAATATGTACTTTTAAGAGAATACATAAATTACTGCTCTGTGCACGAACCGGTAAGAGGGTGTTAGCATAGTGGGACTGGCAGTGGAGCTAAGTAAGATTTGAAAACATGCAAGGCTTGTAGAACAGAAGCGCTAAACCGATGGAATTAATTCCTTATTTGACAGAAATAAGGAATAACGATGATTGCAAAAAGGGCTGATTTGCATGACTGCTTGTATCTGAAAGTCTGCGAACTCTACAGAGGATTATCCAGAGGACACTAAACTAGCAAGGTAACATCAAACTAGATGCAGTGTTTTCCAAACAATGACAAAAGTCACTAGTATTCCGAATTGATTCAATTTTGTGTCTTAGAGCTCAAGTTTTTAAGAAAAAAAACAAATATAATGGAACACAACACTCAAGACACTGCAAGTTCAGATCTCAATGCTCAATTCAGTTAAAAAAAAAGAAAAAAAGATGCATCCTTACTTAAGCACTGGAACAGAATGTCTCAAAATGGTTTAAAGACTCCACAGTTGGCAATTTTAAACTGGTTAGGCAACTTTCCAAGAGCAACTGCAGTCTGTTTGGTCCAGCTCTGAGATCAGAGATCTGCTGGGATCTCTTACAGCCTTAATTCTTTGAATGCTCATTGATCAGCTTGAGCTGAATGTTTGTTTTGTTCATTCAAAATCAAGCTTAATGCCAGCAAAGCACAAAAGAAAGGAGGCTACATTCTTTCTCATATCACCTCGGAGTCCTATTTCTAACAAGATTCAAAATACATGGCACAATTTGGACAGACCTAAGCAAATACTTCAAGAGAACTGCATTACTTTAATGATTTTAACTGACGGACTTCAATGAATTAGTGACTTCTGATGGATCTGAATAAAGTGAAGAGATGGAGAACATAACAAAGGAACTTGTACTGGAGAAGTATTTGAGAGTACAGACGAAGGAAGGCAAAACACACAAAACACGAGCAGCAGTGTGGGCTGAAGCAAATCCTTTAAAGTGTTTTTATGCAGGTGTATGATTCTGTTTACTTTTGACATTTATCTGGAAAGTCAACTATGCAGTGCTACATACTAGGTAAGACTATGTGAAAAACATCTTCTAGCCATTAAACTATAAAATGAATGTCTCCATCTTCCAAAGTAAAAGATGGAAAGGAGAGTAAACTTTTGAGCAGACTGAGCTCCTTTTCAGGTCAATTCTATTTGTGAAATAACAGAAGTGATTTTAAAAGGCTGCATACTGGATGCACTGCCTTGCAAATACATGCCAGGACCACATCCTGTGGTACATCTTGCACACACCCAGTGAAGACCAACTCCTAGCATTTGTGCATTACATCAGTAACAGAAGAACCTGACTTCATGCCAGAATCACAGAACAGAGCCAGTGCCTTCTAGTTCCTCCCCAACACCTTTCTATACTTAACAGAAGGGAAATGCTTTAATACGAGTGCTCAGTTTTCCCTCTTTCAAATACTCACCATTTTTTAGTGTTATCTCCATCAACCTGTCTAAAATCTGTGTGGAAATACAATAGTCAGGATGAACAGACATCATCTGTGGAGAGAAAAGAAGCTACATGTCAAACACCAAGTTGCATGATGGCATCAGTTTTCTTTTAATTTAAAAAATAAACCAACTCTTTGGTAAGATAAGAAACAGTAACGGAAAAAAAAAAACAAAACCAAAAAACCAAAAACGAACCCAAAGCTTCTAAAGCAAGATACACCAAGGAGATCAGAATATTGTGAATACGCATTATTTCAAGCAGCGCAGAGAAGCTATGAATACTTTAAAATTAATTATTTGCAATATTAGAATTCTGTAACCCCATGTTGAATATGTTGGTTTATAAGAAGGTACTGCCAGTTAAAAGAATGGAACGTATCAGGTATCTATTTGGAACTTGTTGCATCTGTGATCAAACTGAACTCCTTGATCAGGAGTAGGGGCACCAGAGTTAACTACAACCTTTTCCAGTCTTGGGCAAGTTGAACATAGGCAATTCTAAAACAAAATAATTAATTCTTAGTTTTTCATAGAACTCTTAACTGCAAAAATATGACTACGAAGTACAGTCTAGGTTTCCTGGAGCATTTCACTTGCCCAGCAAAAAACTCTTCTTCTCCCCCAAATGCTGGACAGTTTCCTGCTCTGTAAGAGAGCTGAATTGGCTCACACTTCTTCCTTACTACAGAACACCAAGGCTCACAGGAGAGGTGGAATGCCTTTTTTACCGGCTGAAGGGAATGACATGGAGGATCAAAATGCTTCTCTTTCTGCAAAAGCAGAAAGGCAGCAACAGACACAGGCTGCAATTTCACACACAGTCCCACTTTTTTTTGTCTTTCTGGCAGAGTTAGAATGTGGTAAATAATAACAGAACTGAGATTGGAGAGGGGCATTTTGTGAGAAATGGAACAATGTAAATTCCTGGTGATTTAGACACAGACATCTAGAAAGCAGGCAGCCACCACGCTTCGAGAACAGCCCCAGACTTCTTCCTGAGCCATAACGCATGTTGACCTTTTCCAAATGAAAATTAGCTGACAATCACAAAACACTTTGGGTTGGAAAGGACCTCAAAGATCACCTCGTTCCAACCCCCCTGTGGGTATCTCTGATTATTTACAAGACTATATCTGTAGAAATGGTACTTTTTCATACTGCAGTGTGTTTGGGGTTTTTGTGGTTTTTGTTTTTTTAAGGAAGGAAAGATTTTTCTGGTTTTGGAAGGAAATAAGATTAACATTTGCTTGTGATTTGACCCACACTATTACATCCTGCAATCTCTCCTCACCTAGCAGCACTGTGCTCTTTTCAAATGCAGTAACATGTATGAAGATGGACATGGATGTGCAGCTTTGCAGTCACTCGGAAAATGTGGAGAAAAAGCTATCCCTAGTGTTTTACCCCTTGTGACAATGTATTTCAGACTGGAGAACAAATGAGAAGTAAGAAATAAAGATTTTTTTTTTATTTAGAAGTTGTTAACCTAATGCAATAGATTCACAAACTTGTTCTGATTATTCCTGCTACATCTGGCTTCCAGGAAGAATATTATACCTGGACAGAGTATAACTGCATAAATAGTACAGTCTTACCTGGAAAAGCCACTTCAGAATTGGTACAGGACACAAGATACAACTGTAAGCAGAACTCAGAAAACCATTAATAGCTAAAGAAAACTGCTGTGTTACACCAGAACTGTAAGACAAAGATGGGGGTGGGGAAAGAGGAGAAAAATCAATCAGTGGCTGAATTAGCACTTTCACAGAAGTGTTAGAACTTCCCTACCCCTCAGATCATCGTCAACAGCAAAGATATGAACATCCAAAATAGATGTTATTCTTGCGTTCTTACCTATATGAAATACTAGACTAATTAAACCTTATTTGCTATTTAGAACAACTATCTTCTTCTCCAGAACACAATACTATATAATTTGGAAACATTTGTACTATTAGAGATTAACAGCTTCAAACAAACATTGATTTACACTATTGTGCTATGAATCATTATGCCTGTCTTCACAGACAGGCTGCTATGCTCAGTGAGACCAGTAAATAAGATTTTTCACTGTCCAATGACCTTTACTAAAACTTCTATAAGAAAATAGAAAAACCTTTGTTTGAAATTTTAAAATAATCTCTTAAATAAAGAATCTGGAAGCAAACTAAAGCAATTAAAATCAAACAGTCTGATCTCACTGTACAAATTTGTGAGGTGCAAAAAGTAGCTGTTGGAAGAACAGAAAATATGTTGATTTTATTACTGAATTATTTTAGTTTTAGCCTTCTTTAGGAAGTCAGGTATGTTATAAGCAGCTGAATTAATGACACCCAGTCTCCCGCATACCCTGCTTTAGTCTCCCCTATTCTCGGTATCTACTAAAAGGGGTAGCTCTGAGAGATCTGTGTCCTAACTTCTCCATATACCCTCCACCAGTCTGAGTAGGTAGCTAGGAAGACATCCATAGGCCAACTGGACAGCCAGTACATGCCAGCTGTGCCAACTGGGAAGAATGCATAAGCAATTAAATCATAATTGCCTTCTGCACGGGATGATTAGTCTAATTCTCATTCCTCCAGTCACTGATTTACAAGATACTTTTGAAGCTTATACCCTTGTGATCTTCAAAACATTATTAATAAAGAGGCTCGAAGCCAAAGGAGTATGTCATAAACATAAATTCCTTGAGAGACAAGGACAAAGCCACCCGCCTCCTCTTCACACCCACAACAGCACACACACATGTACACAGAATCCTTTAAGATAAAATGCATTCTCTCAGTTTCACTGACGCAAGTTTGAAATAAAATGCCAGCAGAAATAACCAAATTTTTTTTAGGATTTGCACTTGTGGTATTATGCAAGAATTTGTCCAGCTATTTGTAGCCTCACAGCCTCATAAATATAGAATGCAAATCCCTATGAGTTACAGAACGGTTGTGTATATACACAGAGACGCACTGCTAGCTCAGTGACTGAATCTAAGAAATGTCAGGAATCATAACTTTCTGCAATCCTCGTTAAGTGGAGCTTGAAGTCCAGGCCCATTCAGGTCAAAACCATGCAAAAGTCTTTCTGCAGACATAATGCAACGTCAGTAGGTCACCAACTGGTTCATCACAAAGGTCCTCTTTCTGTCTTGGTATAGTTAAGCTTTTGTTCATTGTAACATTTCACTTCTGCATTTATCTTCCATGAATTGGTCAGATTATCAATGATAACCCAACACAGCAGAAATATGGAAGAGGCCAGAACATCTATTTGTTTTCTTATGTCTCATTTAAGATGTTTTTTCAACAATACCAGAGAAGGAAAGAAGGAAGCTGCAAGTAACAGTTCACTGTTCTGTAAAGTTAACCTGGAAAGGAGCATTCCAGGGAAAGGGAATCAGTCTCGCCTACTTAGAAAGATAGAGCTCATTTGCATGCAAAGATACTATTTTATCTTCAAAACTGCTAACACTGAAGAAAATAATAGAAGTAAACACAACAGAGTCAAGGGGATATTCTTACCTAAGAAGGAGCTTTTCTATAGGATTTTGAGGGATAAAATGAAAATTCCTCAAGTCAAGATTATGTTGATTGAAGATTTTCCCAGAGGTTGATAAATCAAATATATTTTCTCCAGGGTGGTTGTCAGGTATGGCATCAGCTATTACGGAAAATCTCCTTATAAATGCCCTGTAAAATTCAAAATTACTTTTTATGGTTGAGACAGTTATTTTCAGATGATGAACTCATCAGCCTTATACGAAAATACAGGAATTGTTAAAATACAGTAGCGTTCAAGAAAGTCCACCCAACCCCTAGAGAAAATACAAATGGTTCACATAAAACATATTAACAACAACAACTGATGGAAAGAGAGTGAGATCAGAAAAAAAGGCTAGAAAAGAGAAGAAATAGATGTAATTGGTTTTGGACTTGGAAGGACCTGTGCTCTTCTGAGAGATCTTCATCGCCACTGGCATTTTCATCATCTTCTCCACTTGAAGAATCAAGTTCCCCTCCTTGTATGTATTCCTGTAACTTCTTTTCTAGTTCATCTACCCTGAAATAACAGCAACAGCAGAACATATCATCACCATTTAGTATTTACAACAGAATACAACAAAATTTTTTAAGCTCTGAATGTGAACCTAGGAGTGAGTAGCCAATTATGCATAGTGAAAGCACGTGGGACATTACATCTCTGCAAAATACAAGCATCTCACTATTCCAAGATACAAAGTGGATGTTTCCCAACACCTAATGAATTTCTAACAGAACAATCAATCCCTAGTTTGTCAGAGACCAATACACTCAAATCAACTTCTGACAATTTTTTTGTAATTGCACCAAACTTCCAATCTTCTGGATAATTTTTAAAGATTTTTTTAAAACATCGTACTAATATTTTATTTGTTAAATAGTATTAGTTACAGAAGTATTCACTACTCCATAGTCAGTCAAACCCATAGTTACTAGGGTCAGATTCCTTAATAAAAAGTTAATCACACCTATATACCCATCACCACCACTCGCTATTAGTACATACAACACATCACACTCTCTACCCAAAAGATCTCTTGCAAGAACACTCATTAGTTCTGTTCACTGAACTGTGTAACTACTCAGACACTGATAGTCTGCACAACTTTGGAAAGCAAAACTAAGCTACAAATGCCTTTCAATAAACTAGTACAGTCAGCCTACATAAATACTTTGATTTCATGCCTGACCAGCAGCTGTTAGCTGTCTCAGTGACCTACAATGAAGGCATCGATAAATTTAGTCCAGCTGTTGAGGTGCAGAGAGGTGCATCACAAATCACTTATTATTGCTTGGAAGGAGCCTGTCATTCAGCTTTAACGGTGAAGCCGCAGCTGTAGGTCCTGTCAGATGTATGTTGATGGCACGAGAAGGCAAAGCTTAGCTTGCTGATACCCAAACCCCATCAGTTTTGGGGAAGACAAGGTAAATCTCAGCTTCAACAACTCCATCCCAAATTTTTCAAAGCAGCTTTAAGAAACAAACCTTTTAGATTCTTCTTTCTCCTTCAAGAGATGTTCTAAGCTGTTCACATATGACACCTGGGTAACAACAGGAGGCTTAGAAAGCTGTAAATGAAACAGCAAGAAAAAAAACAAAACAAAACAAGCTATCAAATAATTCAGTTTGACAAAAAACATAATCAAAATAGAAACCTCTTCCAATTTCAATGATATTTTACCTGATGATAAAAACTCAAAGGAGACCCTGAAAAACAGGACAATTAACAGTTTAGGTTTCTCAATCCCTTCACAATTTTATATAATGGTCAAATCTCTCTCAGTGATTCAGAATTTAGAAATAACTGTGCTTCACAATGGATCTGAACAGCAAAGCAAGCCTCTGCTTCTCTCCCTGAGGCTGACCTCCAGCTAACCTTCACAAAGAGCATTACCATCAGAAGCCTTTTACCTCACAGCTTTATTATCATCATCCATCGAGACCCTGGGAATCCCCATTTTCATGCATGAGACAAGAAACTCCAAAAATGGTTCAGTACCTCTTCGTTACTTTCAGGAGTCTCTAGAGGGCAAAGCATCAGTGTTTGCTAAATCACCTCCAAAATCACCAGACACAACAAAGCTTCCAATCAAAATCGTAATATAAACCTGAATTAAAAAGCTAATAAATTGAATTTTAAACAAAACAATGCACAAAGAAAGTCTGCTAGCAGAACTGGTTTGTTTTTCAGTAGCCAATGTTTTATTCAGCTAGTAGCACACAACACAGATTTGAAGTCTTTTATGGCCATGATTCAGTTCTCTGGACAAGCAGTGCCCTTCTGACACTACCTTCTTAAAGTGCTAGTCTCTTACTAGTGACAAAACTTCTTCCTGTGAGCTCTTTTATTTCAGGGAAACACAATTCAATAAGAGCATAAACTTCTCAGTAGGGATTTTCTATTACCCAAAGGTAAAAGAATTTAGCTTAAGAAGTTAAAGTCCACCTACTACTAAAAAAAACCCCACAAAAAACCAAAAAACAGTTAATACAACATTAATTTTTGGTATTCAGAGATACCTTTAAAATGTAACAAGCAGCACATCTTTGTGTGGGAAATCTCATGGGAAAACTAAAGACCTCTTACCTTGTTTTATGTCTGGTTAATATGCCTAAAGCGACTTTTGAACTGAGGAATCAAGACTTTATTCCAATGTGCACCTACGTCCCTTCTTACAAGACATGAGAAGAATGCTTGTATATGCAAAAACCATGGTCATGGAAATTTTGGGACAGTTCTTAACTGTTTTGTCTTACTTGACTATTAATTATGCAGAAACAGGATAAGCCAATTGTTGTGGTCACATTCATGTTCCACAAACATTTCATCTAGGCTGCATCTGTTTATCAGTCGTAAACATTTATTACATATACAGGTTGGTTAAGATTGTGGAATACACATGTAACCACAGAAGTCTGAACTATAGTGCTTGTGTAATTAATGGATAAGGAGAGATAAAATAATTACAGCTGTTCAGTATCTGCCTGCAGACATACACTGCAAGAGAAACTCAGTTAACAAACTGTTTCAGAGATTTAAAAACAAGAGGAGACAGGTAGAAGAGTATTTATACAGGTATTCTGCTAACAGAAGGTTTGTTTTCTACTGTAGAAAATAGTGGGTTGACCCCAAGCAGCAGCTAAGCACCATACAGCTTGTTAATTTCCCCACCCAGCAGTGCAAGGGAGTGAATAAAAAGAGCTCAAGTGAGAAAACCCATGGGTCAAAATAAAGACAGTTTAATAAGTGAAAGAAGGCAGGTGAGGGGAAGAAGAAAAAGTGATGCAAAGGCAATCACTCAGCACCTCCCACAAGCAGAACGAAGTCCAGCTAGAGACTGAGAAACGGCTACAGGCCAGACCAGCTCCCCTTGCTTGGTTTTTATTGCTGAGCATGACACTGTGTGGCATGGAATATATAATATATCCCTTTAGTCATCTAGGGTCAGCTTTCAAGGCCACACTAAGTCCTACTACAGGATCTTCCTAAGTAAACCATTATTTTACAACAGAACTTCAAAATCACAACTTATCTGACAAGCTGTTATTGAATAAGTAGGCTAACCAGATCAATTCACTGTAATAACCTGTAAACTGATATTCAGGTACTTCTTCATCCATCCCTTGTGAGGAGAAGTAATTTCGCTTTTTCAAATCCTTTCTAAAATACTTCCAATTTCCATGAAATTCAGCCTCAAAGAAAACATCACGCTTACAGATCAAGAACTCGTACGCAGCTTTCTGACAATGACAGACTGCAACAAGGATATATGACCTGAGTCTACCACACAGATCTCTCCAACAGATAGATCACTTTCCTCTAGCTAACTCAAACTCATAAGAACCTTGCCTGGCCAGGAAAACGAAAACACACATCTTCTAAACGTAACCTCTTGCTTTTTTCTTTAAGGGGAAAAAGCTAAAAACAGAATTCCTAAAAACCACCAAAAGGCATACAACTAAATGCAGTCTGGCTGCACAAACCATCTTTCAGTCATTCCCAGGACATGCACAGAAAAGTGCACCCTTTCTCTGACTACAGTGCACTGTACAGTGCAGGACCCTTAAGTAAGCTGAGCAACCAGTTTTGCAGGCAAATAACCGAGTTTTCATGCGTTATGAATAAATGAAAAAACCATCCCAAAAATACAGTATAACAAAGGTGATGCAACTTTTTTTTTTTTTGGTTTTTAGCCACTTACATGAAGCTTCAGTAACGGAGTCATGGTGTCCTGAGAAGAACTGTCAAGACAAGATTCTTCTAGGCTTCCTGCCTGTGGCTTGGGACTTGAAGACATAATTTCTTGCAGTGGCACAAATATTTCTTCTTCATCATCATCATCATCTAGTCTGCATTCCAAACTCTCATCTTCACTATCAAAGCTGCTTTTTGATTTTCCATTCAACTTGCCTGTACAGGTGCTTTCAACTTCTAACTCTCCTGAGAGTTGTGGAGACATATGGCCGCTATCCATACACCCTTCTTCAGAAGACAACAAATCAAAAACATTTTTACCAGTCTCTTCTGAGAGTACAAGTTTCCCAGAACCTTCCACTGAACAAGAATCAGAAGCATTTTCTGAAGTCTTGTCTTTTGTTTTTAAAGATCTGTTGCTGGATTGAGTACTGTAAGCTTTATTGTATGCATGTCTTTCTGGTCTTTTCCCATCAGACTCCTTCTTAGCATCCAATCCCTGAGATAAGGCAGCATTCTGGAGCTGAGATTTCACACCTTTTGTTGGTGTTAAGCAGTGGAAAGAAGGCATCACAGTACTTTTTTCCTGAGAAAAAGGAAGGGACTTTTCCAAGAAAAAGCATGAGTTAGCCACCTGCAATTGATTTTCTTTGGTATCCACAACAGAAATGTGGTTATTTTTACCAGGACTGTGCGCAGAATAAGAAGATGACAAACCTACAGAGGAGCAATTATTTTTATCATTTTCATCACTTGAGTTGAGGTATTCCTCTGGAAGAGTAGAATCATGTCTAGGTAAAGCAGCATCCTCCATTAGTTGCAGAACATCATCACAAGCGGACTTTAAAAGGATATGTTTTACAAAGTCAGACTTCCTATTTTTGCACTTTGCAGATGACCTGCTAAAAGCAGGGTCATTCAAACTTGATACTTCAGATTGATTTGAACTGTCTGCATCTACACTCATGGCACTGTGTCTCCTTTTCCCAGGAAAGCCTAGTTGTTTGGATCGCCCAGAAGACATCTTAGATCTAAGGCAGCGTGAAGGAACAGGCTGGCTCCTCTGCATTCCAGCAGCCGTCTCAGATGACATTCTCAGTGCATTTGGAGAAGATGCCTCATGGTTTGAAACCTGCTTTGGCTTTTGTTGAGTTGGGTCATCTATGAAGTGTTTAAGGAAAAAGTAAACCACCATTGACATGTTTAAAAAAAATATAAAACAATCAAAACTGTAACAGCTTACCCTTTAAAGAGCTAACTTGTTTTTAAGTCAACTATGACTGAACCTTTTATCAGAAACTACAGTACTTCCATTTTGCTTGAACACAGTGGACCACAATTAAGATTTAGCTGACCCTGTACTGTTTATTATTATTGTAACTAACTTGGAAATGAAATTAAATCCTTCTATTTTAAAGCAGCTCAGTAGCCAGTGTGGAACACTTTTTCTACACACTAGGATCAATCAGTCTTTGGAAACAGACAACAGCCCAGTCGAGGTACGGGGCTGGAAGAAAGTTTCCGTAATAACATATATGGTTATAAATAATGAGCAGTATGAAATGTATTTGGGAAATACTGCAATAACAGTGCTCATAAAAAAGCATTCAGAATATGAAGAAATCCGTTTTCAGGCTATGGTTCTATGACACCAGAGCCCACCTTCCTCACCATGCTCTGCTGCTTCCTGCCTTAAGCTGGACACTCCATGGTAAACTACTTCATGGAGTTGATGTGGCTGGGAACTACTCTCACATCCCAAAACAACTTCCCACTGGATCAGCTCCTTGCACTGCTGGCCATATCCTAGTGCTAGCACAGGCAGAAAGGGAAGCAAGGCAGCAGAGAGTGTGAAAGGTTTACACAGCCATGGACCCACAAAAATGGGTATTCTCCTTGTTTTGCCCCCCCCCCCTTTTTTTTTAAATTGTCCTACTGACTTAGCTCAAGCTTCTATTCACATGAGTTTTTATATTCCGTTCTACCTATGGTACAACAAAATTATGTGGCTAAAAGCAACAAGGACACCAGCTAAACTTCAGTCGTCAGTTCAACAACAATGTTCCTTCTGGATTAAGCCTAAAGGCAAAATTTGCTAACCACCACACTGAACGTGGATTTTCCAAAATGCAAGAGAAACCAGAAAAAGAATCAAGGAATAGGAGATTAAGACAAATAAACATCACCAGTTCTAATTAAGTTAGAAACAATCTTTTTTTCGCTAAAAACTCAAATTACTTTTAAATCTCTTCAAGCTTGCCATATATTAGAAATAACCTTGGCTATACAGGAGTAATTTTTTTGAGAGAGAAAACAGAAAGACGTATCTTCAAAGAAAAAAAAAGACATTAAAAAGAGACACTAAGTGATGAACCTGATTGTTTAATTAATTCCACATTATCAGCATTACTTCTACCTGAGGCAGCCTCCCTTGAACCAGAATGTTGTGTTTTTCTTAAAGGACATCCATTTCCCTAAAAATAAAGATGGAGAAGATAAAAAAGTTAGTTGCATACTTTTTAAAACCAGGATGTTGACGTCTGGAGCCAAGTGTTGAATCCAACACAGACTTAGTTCCACACACCCCCAGAAATAGGGTAATATACTTCATTTCAAGACAAACTTAAAACACAGCTGCAAAGATCTCAACAAAAGGACTCTCCACAACCTGAATTTTATATCTTTTCTTCCAGCTGGCCTCCAGTTCTAAATCTCTCCACTTCCACGACCACTAGCAACTTGTGTCCCTAGGCTGTATGGCAACAAGGCCCAGCTGGCCTTCTTCAAAGAAGTAATTAGGAATTTAAACAGCAAAATGACAGAAAGCACAGACAAGCAAATACAGAGGGAGAGGTGCTAAGGAGAAAAGGAGACTCAACACAAACCATCTTCTTTGTTCCATTCACAGCACCTTACGTAGGCACACATAATGATCTTCCTTGCAAGTAACCAGTAACCTTTTAAAGGGTTTATTGGCTGGTAAAAAAGTGAACATAATTCAACCTGTAATTAAATACTACATACTTAATAAGATCACTCCCACCTCTACCTAAATACTGTGGCTTAAGTGCATAAATCTGAGCTGCTATTAACTGCAACTTCTAACTCGCAGAAATTTGACAGGCTGTTCCCTACACTACGCTGTAAGAAAACAGAAGCTTATGAGACATTTAAGATAACAAAGACATTTTCTCTACAAAATACAATTTAAAGTTACAATTTCCATTGGATTTTCATGCTTGCATCTAACCCAGGATATCTCCCCTCCTTTTAAACCAGGATTTCTCATTTATTGTAAAATACTTAAGAATCAGCTTACCCAAGCATGCCCTAAAATTTACAAAGGAATACAAAAGAGCATAAATTTCATGTAACATCTGAAAAAGGCAGTGCCAAGAATCTCACCCTACACTGAAAAAAATAAAAAAAAAATCACATGCACAACGGGTCACTGATTTCCACCTTTAACAACCCTTTTAAACACACCTGATGTGATACACTTGTTCCTGAGAATGGCTTTACAGGATGTGGCTTAAATTGTTTCATTCTATGTTTCTGCTTCCTTTCTCTGTGCAGAGCTTCCAGGGAAAACCTAAATTCAGAATCAGCTGGAGGGCAGGGCAGTTTCCCTGGGTTTTGGCACAGCGATGTGTTGTTCACAGTGCCGTTATTTCTAGCACAGGCGTTTCGAGCACCAGCTTCTGATGATGAAACCCATTTGTCAGAATCTGAACTAGTGTCTTTTAGATCCATACAGTCAGTTTTCTGTTCCCAACTACTTCCACAAGACAATGGTGCTCTTGTTACACCCAGACACCTCTCATTTCTTCCCTGTTTTGACTTGATGGTTTTATCCTTTTTGGCCAAGAAACAGCTGCGAGACCCTGTGGCAATAAATTTTTGAATCACAGCTTTTGGGTACAATGAACCCAGTACCTTGCACGCTCTGCCATTCTCCAAAATGTTGACAATATCCTTTTTCCTCTTAATTCCTCTCCGAAAGGTATCTACCACAGGATTTGTGCTTGGTGTTTGGTCTGGCATCTTGTTTCTTCTGACCTTCTTTGGAGAAGATACTTTCTTTTCAAAACGTTCAGCACATAAAACTGACTGTCCGATTCCTGCATCTTTTACATTTCCTCTGTCTGGTGAGCACAACACAGTTCTGTCTTTATGACTAAGGTCTAAGAGAGAAAAGACAAATTATTCACAATCATAATACTGTAAAAAAAGTCTTATTGGACTGTATTACTTGATATTTTATCTCTCTACCATACGCAATTCAAAATGAATTTACTTAATAATTTAGTTTTGCTAGTGCCATGCAATTATTTCATAACAAAGAATTGCATGATCTATGTCACAGCTTCTGTTGTTATACACAATATAGCTTAAGCATGAGACAATGACTCGAAATGATAATTACATCACTATTTAAATAAATCAATTTTAATAAAGGAAATTAATGTTTTCAGTTACATTAGAAAAAATTTAAACGTGTGCAGTTTGACATATTTGATAAGCTATACTCCTTATATTGCTGCTCCAATTTCAAATGAGATCCGACTATACTTCTGCATACTTATATAATTAAAACTCATATAAATATCTTCCATTTAAAAAACACATATTTACCTTGGTTTAAAACTGGTTTGAAGAACTCTGTAATGGTCTGGTTTCTGAAGAGAAAACATAACTTTATCTTTTTAAAAGAACAATACCTAAATGCCCATACAATGAATACTGATAAAATTAAAATGCTGTACTTTATTTCTACAGATTTTTTTTTTTTAATGCCAGCAGTTCTTATAGTTCCTTCTGACAGATCAGAGAAAGCATCATCTCCATTGCCTTCTAGCCTTCACTCTGCTAGAGAAGAATGAACTTCCTATCTGTGCTACTACCAGACTTCTGTGCAGGAACTTGTACCAGCAGTGCCCATCAACAAAATACATGTATCAGCGGCAACCCTCCCTGCACACATTACAGGCATCTTCTGGCTTCTAAGAGAAACAGCAGTCCACAACCATCTTATTTTTACACATTCATAACAAGATTATTAATAGCTTTAAATCAGAGGTACTTTCCCTGGTACAAATAAGTAGGATGCGAGAATACCAAGGCATTTCTCTGTGAGAGAATGTCATTTCTAAAAATGGGCAGATTGAGTAACGTGTAATTTGAACATTAAAACACATCTAGAACTATGAACTTGCTGTCTTCATCTCCTCCCACATAGCAAGGAAATTTACTAACGACTTCAAGGCTATACTTACACCTGTTTTGGAAGTTTTTTCAAGTTCCAACAAAATGTTGGTGAGAAAGCAAGAATAACCCAGTTTTGTCTATGACCTTATTTTGTAATCTTTCTGTGCCTTCCAAAACAAAAACACATCATTACTGTCTGTGTAACAGTGATTACAAAGGCAAAACTTATTTATTCCAGAATCTAAGCTAACATATTCAAGCATCCATACATGACTCTGCTTTCACAGACTCAATAACCATTTCTGAAGCTCAGGCCAGAAGAACCCACTGTTCACCTGTTCCATCTAAACTTGGATTCAATTCTGAATTTTTCCATAAGCTTGTCAACTTTCACTCTTACATTTTCTACATGGCTTCTGCATTTTTAGCATCTACACAAAGCTGTCTTTTTGGCTTACCAAAGAGAGGAGAAGAACTACTTGTCAAAGACTACTTGCCTAGAAACCTGTCCCAGTTTAATCTGATGTAAGCCAAAATACACTCATTTTCCCAACATGCTGAAGCAAAAGGGTCCCCAAATCTCAGTTCAACAGAAGAATCAAAAGGCTAAACTGCAAGTTTATTCGCTGTTACTGCTGTTGCCCACCGATTTGTCTTCCTGCCCTAGAACACCTCCCACTCTGACACCCTCTCACGACAAGGCGCTCTCTGCCTTGCATTCGTCAGGACACTCACAATGCCTGTTTGTGACTGCTCTCGCAGCTGCAAAACCATCCTGTGCCCAACTGGCAGCTCCTGAACTGCATCTCTTTTCAAAACTCTTCTATTTTCCTAACTAAGCAACTGTACTTCTTCCTTCCAGGTTGAGACCCCATCTGCAATACCAACCGCTGTCAACAGTCCAAATCTCATCTTCAGTTACCTCTCAGATTCCTCTCCGCACTTCAATCTTGAAGACAAAACAAAAACAAAGCCTTCCGCTGTCTTCTTCCTTCTTGCTGTCTTCTTCCTTCTTTCCGCAGCCACTGATTTCAAATGACTGGTTATCTTCCTCCCACATGCACTATCTCATTGTTGTACCCTTTCCATTTATTCTAAATGCAAGAGCTTTGTAACAAAAGTCATCTTTGTTCCACAATTATACAAAGCCTTGTACAACATAACTGAGAGAAGGGAGGCACTGCCACTAGAAAAAAGCCCCCTTTTTTTTCTTCCCCTCCCTGGGATAAAAGTTTAACCTGAATGGAGAGCGATTTGTGTTAGACTACTTTAAAGTGACAAAGTGACATCTTCCACTTCGCATTCCACTGCTTTTTGGAAGAACAAGGGATAGGAAACTGTCCAACAGAATAATAATTTCTCAGGTGCTGTACTGTATCTCAGACAAGGAAGTGGGAAGTGTACTAGAAACTTCAAACAAAACCAAGGGTGAAAAAAAAGAACGCACGTGATACAGTACAAGGAAGAACATGAGAAAGTACTGGGCTTCCCAATGTGCTTTTCATATATATGAAAGTCCAAAAAGAACATGTGATTTTCTATGTGAACAGGACCATAACTGTTCATAAACTACTCACATGAGGATTTCTGCTATTGTTTTAATAAGAGGTCAAACCATCAGCCCTAAGAGAATGAAGACATGATGAAGCAACAATAACTACTGGTTTTCGCTCTTTTTTACCTAACACGAGAGTCAAAGTTGTTTAATGTATCTTTGTCAACAACTACATAGCTCTGGTTAATGCTCTTCAGCAAAATATATTAATTCAGCAAAACATATTTATCCCACTAAAAATTATTCCACTATTTTTTGTGAAATTTCACCTTAACTGAGACACCAGAGGCCACTAAAAAAACCTAGATAAGAAAAGGAAAAACCCATAAACACATGATCTTGCTTAACTAAGAAAAAAGCTATGCAGCCAGGAGATGCACCTAACAGACCTTTCAGGTCTTTCAAAATTAAGTGCATAAGCTGCACGGAAGAGGGTAGGAGGAAATTCTTCCACTTGTTTAAAAAGACAAACCTGAGTATTCTTTAAAAGTAACTAGTGTTTACAGTGGTTATCTCTGACTGGATAAAAACTGTACTTCTAAAAATCTGTGCTGGGTACACTAGCAATAGCTCAGAGAAAGCAAAGCCACACAATGTAGGAATAAACTACAAAATGTAACTACATCTTTGACAAAACGGAGCATCTTGAAAAGCACTGTAGAAATAACAACAATACAAAAAAACAGAAAAGAAAGTTGCACACAAAACCTCACAATGGTCTTTCAGATGACCACAGCAAAACCAAAACAGAGTAGTTTCACTTTCTTGGGCAAGATGCAACAAGGAAGAACTGAACTTTTACCTTCTCCCTTTCCTTCAAAGGTCAGGGCTATCAAAAAAAGAGAATCAGCAGAAATGAACAAAACAAGGTGCTGCTAATGGGATAAGAAAATTATGACTTGCCTCCTACCACAACAGAACTTACTTAACTCGGTAGCCTCTGAAAAACCTCATCAAGTCTTTGGCAGAATTTGGATTTCTAGTTCGTAAACAGGTTCATTATGTCTAAAAACTGTCATTGACCACCGTTGCCCTCACTAGAGGCCTTGTCCTCCAGCACCGTTAGCTGCAGAGTTCACAGCTGGAACAGGCTTCAGAGCTGATCGTGACAACTCAACTCCTCGCTTTAGAGCTGAGCTGCTGAAGCCTCCCTGGCTCTGCAGGGAGACGGGCTCACAAACACCAAAACCTGAAATGGGAGGAGATACAGGTACACACAGGAGGACTCATGCATTGTGAATGATGTGCTGAAAATGCCAGTCAGTACTTGGCCAGACATCTTCTTCAGTTTCTTCGTGTGCTGTCAGGTTGCCCGGCTACCAGGCGCCTTTGCCCCTGGCCACCAAGCTGTCACCACCACACGGGAACCAGGCCCAGCGCCTCAGGGCTGGACCCCCCCGTGCTGGAGCACGGATGAGGAGGGCACCGGCCGCCCCTCACGGCTGAGCACGCACCCGTGCTCCCGGACCCCTTCACACCGACATCTACCCA